GTGATGGTAGGCTAGTCAGAGGTGGTTGAGGAGTGGAGAAAGGTCACATTGCTTGCACTAATAAGTTTGATTGATATTGGAGATTAGTGGCAGTTCAAATATTTAAGTGATGTGATGGAAGTGAGGTCTTAGAAATTCCCCATTGTTCCAAATGTGAAGTGCCAGATAATAAATTGGGGAGGGGGTTGGGGTCTAGAGGAGCTAATAAATGGCACATATCACCGCATTTTGAGCAAACTTCTTTCAGTAATTGGGACATTTGACTAAACATATTTAGGCTTGAAATTTTATGAACTGGTTCAAGTAGTCTGAGAATCTCATGTGTATGAATGTATTTTTTCATAAAGCTTTTGGTTTTGCTGATTAAAAATAGTTGTGATATTATGCACTGGGGTGAGATTTTGGCGTGCTTTATTTATTATTTAATATACAAGCACATGGAATGGGGGAAAATCTGGAATTGTCATTCTAAATTTAGACGAAAGATTTTAGGGTCAAATTCTCAGAAATGTTTTTGATCAAGGCACTGCAAACATTATTTCATTACAAAATTTCTCCTCCCTCCTCACTACAGAATGTTTGAGAGTGGTGGCTGGCGCCAATGTGATTTAGGCGCTCCTTGGTGGCCTTGGGCTGCTAACCATACGTTGTCAGTTCAAACCCACCAGCTGCTGAGGCTTTGTGTTCCCATAAAGATTTACAGCCTCTGAACCACTGGGGAGCATTTGGACTCTGCCCTGCGGGGCTGCTGGGAGCTGGGATGGACTGAAAGGCACAGTGGGTTCGGTTCTTTCATTGTCCTACAAATTCAGAGGCGCTCTGGTGGCACAGTGGTTAGGGACGTGTCAGCAGTACCAAAGGTTGGTGGTTGGAACTCACCGGCCACTCCATGGGAGAGAGAGGTGCCAGTCTGCCTCCATCAAAGCTAGGGTTTTCAGAGCCCCGTGGGAGTAGTTCTAGCCAGTCCTACAGTGTCACTCTGAGTCAGAATTGACAGGATGGCTTACGTAGTCTCACCTTCTGAAAATCTTGTCCATGCGTACTTTTTGTTGCTAGCATTTAATATAATTGCTTTGCTTTGCCTTTAAGCTACATAAATAATAGCTGTCTGCTGATGAGAGATTTTAGCCAAACTTTCATTAATTACTTTTACCATTTTGTCAGTGTTGCTTGTAAATTTTCATGACAGCGTGTTTTGGAAAATATCTTTAGTGTTTAATTTGATTATAACACAATACACATTCACTAGAAATATTCACACTCATTCTATAGAAGTTAGAAGGAAAACCAACACCGGGACACTATTGAAAGCAGGCTTGCTCTTAGCTGATGGGTCCATCTCTCACACTGAGAGAACAGGATTAAAATGGTACAACCATTGCTAAGTGGGGTCCTAGCTATCTAATACAGTTTGTCCTGGGTGGCACAAACAGCTCTGTGCTTGACCACTAACAAAAAAACCATTGGTGGTGAAAGGCCCTAGACTAGAGGCACCTCAGGGTAAAAGCCTGTAATCT